TTGACTTTGTGGTCACTTCATTATTTATTATTATTGTTATTTATTTTAACAAGATAACTCGAGAAGGTGGGGGACCTTGGGCAGCAGGTCGGATCAGAGGCTCTGGAGGCAACCCTGAGGTGCGATGAGGTTGCTCAGGTCTTGGACACCTCAGGGATGGAGATGGCACCACCTCATTGGGCAGCTTGCACCAATGCTGGGTTGCCCCCAAAATTTCCTCCTTCTGTATTTTTTTTTATTTTTTTTTTAAATCCTGTTGGATGTTCTTTGTCTCTCAGCTGCTTTGTTTCTCCCGGTGTGAGGTCAGGGCTGCGATGCTGCAGGGTTTGGATACACCAGGACCCCGCTCCCACCCTGCCCCCGGACAGACACACGGCTCACTCCTTCGGTATCTTTTATTAATGTATAGAAAATGCATTAAAAAAAGGAACTATACATAGCCTAAGAGCGGTCAGGACTAAAAATACTAGTTAACAATGGTTAACAAGCGTCGATCCCATTCTCTGAGCTACGTTTTCATTACAGGATGGGGAGGGTTGTTTAATATATTATTTATTTATATTATTTCTTTGATTTATGCATTTATTTGCTTTTATCTTCCCCCTTGTTTGGTTGTGTTGGTTTGTGTTTGAGTTCATCGGAACCTGTCCGAGGGATTTTGTTGCCTCCGTTCTTCCTTCTTATTTAGGGATTTTAATTTTTTTTTTTTTTGGAAGTAATAAACACAATTCCAGGGAAACACCTGTGGTCAGGGGGCTGCTGGTTTGTTTGTTTAGGTCTTCGTGTCATCATCCTTCTGAGAAACCACTAACACCTGGAGAGATGTGGGCTGGGTACCGAGGTGGGTCTGGGCATTGGCATCTCCCCAGGGAAGAGCCTTTCTCCCAAACTTCTCCCCGGGAAAAGGCAAGGAGCTGCCACCACCATCTGGGCACCACTGGGTCTAAGGAAAGGGGAAAGTGACCCTGGAGCTACTGGTGGTCCTCAAGGGGCTCAGTTAGGTTTGATGGTCTGTCCTGGGGCGTTTGGCTGGCAGAAGCAGGGATGGGCTTCTCGCTTGGCCCCAGGACAGAACCCTTCGTTAGTGGGTGTAAGCATGAATGAAGAGGTTTTTTTGAGGTGAAAGCTCTTTGTTGGCAGTGTCTGGTAAGGTCAAGGCTTGTGAGCGTTGCTGGGGGGCACAGGGCAGGGAGTGCATGGTCACCCCAGGGCGCAATGGTGGGGATGTACCAGGAGGGCAGCTCTCGGTCTTGATGATGGGCATGTGCTGGTGTGGAGGTGAGGCACTGGGCGAGCATTTTGGCTCCTGCTGTGTTTCAGGAGGTCGCTCTAAACCTGTTGCGGGCACAGGGACACCAGTGCCCAAGCCCTCCCCTGCCACAGTGCTGGGGATGATGGTGGTGTGAGCTGTGCTGTCCACATCACGATACTTCACCTGGGGTGAGCATCACTTTAGGAAGGAGGTAAGAGGGTGTTTAGGCTGGTACTATGCTTTAAGACACGTAGGGTAAAGCACTGCAAAGACAAGGAGTAGAAGCAACAGCTTCTCCCAACCTTTGTGTGGTTCTGATACCCTTCCAGCATCCTTCTGCCAAAGCCCAGCTACCTTTGGGGAGGGTGTGGCCTCTCTCCTTCCCCAAATCATTCATTTATAAATGCTGTCTTATGGATCACTGCACTAATAGCAGCTATTCCTCTCAGGCCTTTTTTGTTTTCCTTTGGTTACGTTTTAGTGCAGTGTGTGGTTGGAAGGTGGGCTCGGGGGTCTGGCAGGAATGGAAACAGGGGGAAATCAAAATTGGGCAAGAGATGAGAAAGTCCCTTGGGGTTTGCTTCCAGGATTTTGAGGTTAGAAATAAGAGGTGGCTTTGAAAGGCTGCAGGGGGTCCTGGGCACCCATGGTGCTCTGCTGGGTGAAGGACGTGATGTGCTTCTCCCTGCTCGATGTTATGGGATTTGGCATCTCGCAGTGGATAGTGTGGTTTGGGTAACAGCTTCACGTTTGTTTTGGGGTCTGGGGCAAGGCTGGGCCATACAAGCTGGATGGCAGAGGAGCCACCAGAGCCCAGCGATGGTTCACATGCTGGAGCCAAGGTCCCTCGAGACGAGCACTGCGCAGGATCCAGGCTGGGTTTTTGGGAATGTCAGGCCTGATGCCAAGACTTCTTTCAGTTGCAATGCTGTGCCAATGGGGGCCAGGGTCAAACTTGCTCTGGTTGGAGAACGCATTCAGAAACAGGGCTTGCCCAGCCACTGATGGAGGGTGAAGAGAGTCTGTACTTAATCATTTGGCCATTCTGTAAGCATCAATGTTAAGCACAAATCTGCTTGAAACCACTGGTAGGAGCTTTGTCCAAAAAAAATTATCAGGCAATGATGAAAAATCTCACCATGTGTCAGATCAGGGACCAGCATTGGTATGTAACAATGCCAGAAGGTCATCTGTTATCTCCAAGGGCATCCTTCAGACTTGATGATGGAGTTGTGTCGACCAGGCTCTCTCATCCCAGTTACAGGACTTACAAAAGGGATGACAGATGAAAGCAAGGAAAGAGAGACGTGCGCCAGGAAGTCTATTTAGAGAATAATCAGCCTTTTTGAGAATCTTCTTTTGAACCTCCTGGAAAAGCTTGGCATGTTTTGATTTTCTGTTTGACATGTGCTTTTGAAAAGGGAAGTTTCTTGCCTTTCACTTGATTGTGAATGATGAACTCCCATGTTTCCACCACCGTCTCTTCCTTTCGCCTGGGTAGATAAACAGCACTATCCGAGACGGGCGAAGAATGCCATCCCCTGCAGGTCTCTGCTCCTAGTTATAACCACTCCACTATAGTGTTTTTATTAGGACATTTCTTGCCTATAAACTCTTGGTGATGTTGGGAAAAATATTGCTCTGCTGGTCTACTAGGAGGCTTTAATCGGTTCCATCTGCTGCTTCTTGTTGGCTTTTGGGACTTAAAACAGGAGAGGCTTCTCGGGAGGTGTGACTTGCTGCCATTCATGACACCGGCCATGTCCTGCAAGAGATGCCGTCATCTGCAACCTCTCTGACTGACCTGTTCCTCAACTGGTTGAGACTCATTGCCTGATTTGATGCTGATGGGGAGTAAGAAGAGATGCCTCATTTACGTATGAGGTGCTGCTGAGCTACAGCATCCTTACTCCAGCTCAGACTGCGGCTTGTAAGGTGACCACTTGAAGGACTGGACCCTGTATCTGATCCTGACCTCGGGGTTAGCTATGATTTCGTGTACCAGTACGTGGCATGGACAAGGAGGCTGCGTTTCCCACTTAATGCCCTTCTTCAGCTCTGCAGCCATGGCGAGTAACGTCAGAAAAGCCACGAGTGTGACCATGAAAGAGACACTGGCCTGAATTATAAGCTACTGCAAAGATGCCTTTATGTTGCCATCTGGAAGATGTTTCTTGAGACAAAGCAGCTTCAGTGTGATGAAATCAAAATGCAGTGTTTAGCATTTGTAATGCTCCCTTGGCCGCGAACCCAGCGATGAGCTGCATTGTCCTCGGACGTGGGGACAAGTCCCTTCTCTGAGACCAGGCTGGTGACAATGCCCAGCATTGATTGGAGCCCTCGGCAGAGGAGTGACTCCAGTGTGGTGGTTGGTTGGGCTACGTGGAGCTGGCATCAGTGACAACAGAGTGGAGCCAGAGCTATCTGAAGGATTCATCTTCCTTAAGACAAGAGGAGTTAAGGATGGGAAGAGCAAACTTATCTATTCTTCTAAGGGTCTTGAAGTGCTCCAAAATCTGAATGGACTAAGCCTGCCTTCCAGGGGAGGGAAACAGTTGATTTTCTGTTAGAGAGATGGTGGTACCAAGGCACTGAGATTTGTGTTCCTCTCGTGATGGTGGCGAAGACGGATGGTGTACGAGAAGGAAGGGAACGGGTGTTTCTCAGCTTGCGCTTGTCTTCCCTGGGCTGTGTTGTCATCCTTCCCCATGTGCGTAAAGGTCCCTGAACAAGAGCACCTGGGCTGTGCCAGCTGCCAGCTTCAGGCTGGACTACAGTTGTGTGATAGCTCTTCTGGTTGCTGGTCCTTCTCTGAGGCTCTTTGGTTTGGAACCAATGACCTCAGTGAGAGACAACACAGTGGCAGGTAGAAATAGCAGAGGAAATGGGCCCTAGACTTCTAGACCGCAAGGAGTGATTTTTCTCCCACATCCTCTAGTTTGTCTCCTTTCTTCTCCATCAAGCTCAGCATAACCCAAGCAGATGTCATGCACCTGAGGTGAGATGAGTTCAGCTCAGAGGAGCTGATGATGCAGGTTGGGACCGGTGGAGCAGCTCATGTTCCCCTGCACCCCATGTAGACGAGGACGACTTTGGCTCTGGTGGGGCCAACATGTGAGCTGTGGGCTCTCTAGAGTTTGCCTACACATGCAGATATTCGCCAAGCCCTCCTGGTCTGATCTGTGAAAACTGAGGATATGATGAGCCTTGCGTTTGCTCATCTTCGCTTTGTCTCCATGTGTACAATGCCTGCGTGTAAGGGAGGGATGACCAGGAGAGACGGGCTTCTGCCTGCTGGAAGAGTTGGGGGTCTACACAATGGTGTGAAGCTTGAGACCTTCCTGCCAGGAGGGTACTGGGGGGTGGGAGAGGACAGGTGTCCCTGGCCATGGCTGGAGTGGCGGTGACCACCCCAAGGTCACTGTGGGGAAAGTTTCTGCCATGAGCGCTGTGACGAACGTTTCTAAGAGGTTTTGCTGAGGGTTTCTAAGTCTTTTAAAAAAATATCAAAAATCTATCTTTCTCTCTCTTTCCTCTCATTTTAAGGGCCAGAGTATTGGGGTAGGGAGACTGGAAATTTGGTATTTCTCTGGGACAGGTGCAAAGCATTGAGGTCTTTCCTTTGCCACGGCCTTTGCTTGTGCCATGGTTCCCTCCAGCACTTGTGAGGGGCAGGTTGCTATCTCAGACAAGTAGTAATTTTTTTTTCCCCTTTTCATATTATAAAATACAAACAAATGACAGAAAAGGTCAAGTGGTGGGAGGCGGGAGGGGGTTCGACAGGCTCAGAGCTGTAGGGACCGTCGCTTCCTCCCAGAGATGTTACGGTGGTTGTAAGGTCGCATCTTCATTTCCACAAAGGGGATGGAGAACTCGTGGCCTTTCCAATGGTACCAGTTAATCCCCTGGCAGGAGGGAGAGAAAGGCACAGGGTAAAGAAAGATCCTAACACAAAACTAGAGTGGGAGAGGAAGGAAGCAGACTTGACTGTTGTAAAGAAGCCAGAAGGAAGAATTTGCTACAGCAGGAGCAAGAAACTCTGCTGCTGCTATGGCTTGATGGGTTTTTTCCACTGCTCAAAGGATCCTCATCAAATTTCATGGGCATATTTTTTTTTAATGTGACGTAACAGGGTGCCACAGTAAATCACAGAATCATAGAATGGTTTGGGTTGGAAGGGACCTTAAAGACCATCAGTTCCGACTCCCCTACTATGGGCAGGGACACCTTTCACTAGAACATGTTACTCAACGCCTCATCCAGCCTGGCCTTGAACCCTTCCAAGGATGGGGCATCCACAACTTCTCTGGGCAACCTGTTCCAGTGCCTCACCACCTTCATTGTAAAAAATTTCTTACTTAGATCTATATCACCATGGCAGCTGCTGTGAGGTGTGAAGCACCAGCCTAAATGGCTTGAAGGTGGTTTGCTTTGCTTCAACTTGTGTTGGGTCACCCCAGCAGTGCTCCTGACCCTGGTGCACTGACCATGCAGCCCCAGCTTGGCCTTGCTGTCATGCTTGGTCGTGCTGCTAGAAGAAATGCCAGAGGCTTTCAGCCCGGCTCTGCCCTTACCTGACTGTGCCGGGACTCTCCGTACTTGCCGTTGAGGTTGGTGCGGTGGCAGTTCTTGTACCACCAGGCACCTTTGTAGGACATGGCGCAGTTGGTCACAGCAACGTCGTTGTCCCTGTCCTTGGTGGAGAAGGGGCGGCCCTGGTGATAGGTGAGGGAGTCCCCTGCAGAAAGAGGTGCCATTAGAGGTGATGGAGCCCGAGTCATCTGGTCTTTTCATAAGGAAATTAGGATAATCTGGTATATGTGGTAGCCTGTCGATCAACAGCTCAAGCAGCTGAAGGTC